TGGAGGAAATCAGAGCCAGTACAATTCAAATTGTTCAGAATAACTCACCTTCCACTTTAGAAGCTTGAAGAGCTGAAAAGTGGGAATTTGCAGCCGAATTCCATCGAAATCAGCTGATTCACCGTCACCGAGCCGCAGCCGCTGTCGCGTCACAGTGCAGCGCGGCTGTGCCGCCCCGACAGTCCGTAATGATGAGGACTGTATAAGAGAGGAGTGCACGAGAGTAGCAGCTGTCGTCGGATCAGCCCATTTTACCATATAACATGCATTATACATAGGAGGATGCATCGTTATCAAGGGTGCAGGACCTGTCGTCGGTCTTATCCCTGTATGATTAGATCTAACAACGTCGAGTGAATATTATGACCGGAACCGCTGATCAGCTCCTAGACAGGATCTTTTTCTAAATCTCTAGCTGTATTAGAGTCAAAGTGGTCGTTTGGTCACAAATTTACGTTGAAGGCAAGGGCAGAGTCAGACTTGTCATTGTGTCATTCCCACTCAGCGCATCTTTCTGTCCATCATCGTAGAAAACGAGGGACCACTACGGAAAGCGGAATGGTGGTCTGGCCCCACCCATGGGTCCAACATGGAAATGGTTTTTGAAGGCTTACGTAACGGTTCTTCCCGGCCTCCACAGACTTTCTCTCTCCTACGCTGATGGAGGTCCACGTCTAACTCAACTCTGCTTGATCTCATGCAATATTTACAGACGTTCATTGTTGAATCCGTTCTGCACTCTGTCAACGCTCGTGAACCAAACCGAATTGATGCCCATGCTGGCTACTACGGGTAGGTAAGCAGTACTTCACGAAGTTCTCTTACCTTATCACTACTTCAAATTACTATCACAAGTTACTGTAGCCCTTGGCTCTCCGTAGGGAGAACATCAGCATTAGCCCCTTGGTGGCAGTCCTATCCCGTTTCCGTGCAGAGCAGATATTTGTAGTAACTTACGCCGGCACGGGAGCCTGGGCCCGCATCACCATTGTGATCATTTGGTGTCTTGGAAATTACCCCTCTTAATGTCCATCCTAAAATACCCCCCTTTTTTATTTGAGTTTGGTTACGACCCCCTCCAAGCCCTCTGGTCCTTGCCTCATCGAACCGCAGCCGTTATTGTGTGATTGTGTTGTGGGGGGGGGGGTGAGGAGAGTCGTCGGAATTATTTAAGTATCATTTTCAAGTGTCGAAATATAGTGCGTCCCTTGGGGCCTGACAAATACCGACCCTTCCCTCCCACAAAATGACAACGTACGACCCCCCCTTGTGATGACCACAACAAGATGGCGTGCCCTAACGGGAGCTCCAGCTATTTGATTATCCCATAAAGCCATACTCCCCTATAGCGTCTTCTCAGTCTCCCAATTCACCTCTGAACTTACTTTGTATCAGTACCATGTGATTTCAGACAAGCGACGTGCTACATAGCATATATGCTGGCCTGTTTCATCACACCATCGCTACTACCGCTACTTTCGGCGAAATGGTCACTTTTTCTCGGCTCACTCTGTTGGACTATCTATCATGCGGGATTTCTCTACCTCAACAACTATTTTTATTACTTTTCATGTGCACTGATGGGAATTGGATTTGCATGTAAGGATAACTGACAAGAATTCTTGCATTAAAATAGTGCAGTAATATGATCTATCTAGTCTGGGCGGAGTCGGACTCGCCAGTGTGCCATGCAGCATCCTTCCTCTCGTCTTTCATATCATAATATGCCTAGGTAGTGGAACAAGTAAGCAACTTCGGATACAAGAATTCACAGTTCTTCACAAGGTGGCGTGCACAGGCTTCTCTGAGAACTATTTGATACCCCCACCAAACCGCCTGGTGCCCGGTAGACTGCATGGAACTCATGGCATGCCACGACTTTGAAAAGAAGCTCATCCTCATTTAGCCAATTGAAATATATTTCAGTCTTCTACACTGGCTACACGGCTTATCTCACATCGCACTCCACCAGAGGTACTATTGAACAAAATTCAGCGATCACTTGGTCCATAGGCAACCTATGGTATGTATCCTCTCATAGGAAAACACTCCAGCCACAGAAAAGTTCAGTTCACTCGTTTCAGCCTTCTCTTCGGCGGAGCTGTGCTGTTAATCGTTTCTGTCTTGAATGACTCCAAACTAGAACTTGTCAATGGAAACTCAACAGAAGTCCACGAGTCCGTGAATTCGCGTCAATTCAATGACAGCGACATATTTTGGATGTATACCAGCTTTGCTGCGGTAACAGTGTGCTCAAATGTAATATTC